AATCCTCGACCGATTTGTTGAAGCTAATTTCTCGAGAGGAAATGTTTAGTGTAAATTCGGTTGATAATGATGACGACGACAACTTTGATGCTACTACAGCGAGGCGTCAGTCCTTGCCGGGTAGTGGGGCCCACGGCATGTCGCCCTCGGTTTCTAGAAGGGTGAGTCCTTCTCGAGGGAGGAGTGTTACCCCTTCTTGTTCTAGAGGAGCTAGTCCAACTAGGATAATAAGACCGTCGAGCCCTTCAAGACAGCCTCACAATTCGACTTTGGTTCCGGGTTTTATTGCGGACGTTAAGAAAGGGAAGAAGGTTGAGAATAATGTCGAAGACGCGCATCAATTGAGGCTGCTGTATAATCGACACTTGCAGTGGAGATACGCGAATGCTCGAAATATCGATGCGTTGCATTCTCAGAAAGCGAAAGCTGAGGTTGATCCATCGGCCACAACACTTTATTTTTAATTTTTAAATATTTATATTTCAGAATTCCGAAATGAAATTCATGTGTTTCTAATAAGTCGGTTTTGATGGTCGCAGAAAATATTTTACAGCGTATGGAGGATTATATTAGATCTATTGGATGTGGTGACGAAGAAAAGGTCCGACCTAAAGCAGCTCCGACTTAAGTTGAAGATTTACTCGATTTTGGACAATCAAGTAATTCCCGGTTTTTATCTCTAACCTCGATTATAGTTTTCGAATATTCTGTATACCGGCTTTCATATTTGACCGTACGAGGTTATCATAATTTTGCATGCGTATATATATTTTCGACTTCCTATACTAAAAAAAAACAACGTTCGTATTTCGCTAAAGCTTATGATTATGCTAATTCAAATTCAATCTGCTCAGATGAACTATCTTAACAAGTGGGCTTCAATCGAGAGGTGTCACGCAAGTTCGTTAACCTGCATAATTGAAGATCTTCAGTCGAGCACTATTCTCGTTCCGGTTATCGGAGGAGCAACGGTAAATATTATATATTTAACAAAACAAAAATTAACAATAATAATTAAATAATCACTTAAATAAATCTATATATTTTTCAGGTAGATATTAAAACGGTTAAATCGGCTGTATGCTCGGCTGTCGATGTCATGATGGAGATCGGATCCTCGTTGTGTTCCATTATTCCACAGGTGATAACTTCTTATTGTTTATCATCTTTGACTTTGGTCAACGCTGAAAAAAAAAAACATTCGATTTTGATCTTGTCAACATTGGATTTAATTTAAAAGTTGCTTATGCAGCTGGTGTCGTTCGAAGATCGATTTTTTTTTTTTTTAGATTTCGTTTGTGTGATAATTTAGGTGGAAGGGACGAACAGCTTGGCCTCGAAACTTGCTGACGTGGCAGCGAACGAGAGGGCCATGCTGGACGAATGCGAATCACTTTTGAGGTCTACAGCTGCATTACAGGTAAAAGGATACATAGCATTTTTATGTTTATTTTTGTTCGATTAAATTCGAATATTTTTCGACCTCAAATTAAAAAAAAATTAATATATTTTTCGAAACGGTGATACGTTTTTCGTATATATAGCTGATGATGTTGCATTTACTTGATAAACAGGTAGAAGAAGACAGCCTCAGAACTCAATTATTACTGATTAAACAAGATCCCTTTGTATATGGTTAATATTAATAAGATAATTAATTATACTAATTAGTAATTAACAACCTTCAGTCTTTTTCTTGGTGGTTGTGTGTCAACATTTCTTCCGCACCTTTTTTTGTTTTCTTTATATATATATATATATATATATATATATATATAGGCTATAGCATTGTCACGTTAGTTAGGATTTGTTATATCATCATTTTCTATTTGTAATCAAAATTTGTTAGCTATATATAGGTTTTTTTGCAAAAACTATCCATGTGTAGTCTAACTAGTCTTCAATGGCTAAAACGACCCTATCTTAAAAAAATTAGGAAGAAACACCGCGGTCAAAAATAGTTAAAGCTAACCCTAACAGTTTATTGTGTAATGCAGCGTGTATTGTGAGAGTAAAAGTGTATTAATAGTTTGACTTGAAAAGTCAAAAATTCCCTCAATATTATTTTTTTTTCCTTTTTTATCTTTTTAATATATCTTTTATAGGGGTGATTTGGTCATTTCACATTAGCCAACAATAAATTTCGAAATAAAGACTCATGTGTTTTAAAAAACACAAAATGGTGGACTTCTTACTAATTTTTTTAACAGATGGGATTTTTCGACAATTAAAAACAACACTAGGAGATCTATGGTGTTAGCTCGCTATATATACTATTAATAAAATGTAAATTAGTTATTATAATTTGTATATTAAATCGTGATTATGTAAGAAAATGGTCAATTATGGAGGTATTAGTTGAGATTTGTGAGTCATCTATTTCAATATGCACCACCATGACAAAGTAAAGTCGAGCAAGATCAATGATAGTACAATATGAAGTATTTAATTAATTATTTACACCTTTTTGTTTTATTATTATTTAAACTTCAATTTCTTGATTCGTTAGATAGGATGTCACTTCATCATACTCATGTTGTCTATTGGTACCGACTATAAGTATTCACCCTGCTATTAATAGAAAAAAATAAATCAAATTGACGGTTTTCAATAATTGTAATTACTAAAACAAAATAAATACGAATCGACCAACAATATTGCGACACGAACACACGAAAAGTTTATGCTTCAAATTATGTTTTTAAAAGAGAACCACTTACATGTGCAAGGCACCAACCACAGAGGGATAGTAGTGTGCACATTTTCAATGAATGCGTCCATTTACTTATAGAAATTAGATATACAAAACTCAGAGAAACATTCCCCTAAAATTAATAAGATTTTCATTGTGTACATTCACAACATGATTGAAGACAAAATCCATCAAGCAAATAAATAATAGTGAATATAAACGTGCTAATGTATAAGTTGTAAACATAAAAATAACCAAGACATGTTATATCAAGAACTGATAAATATGCAAATAATATGTACCTTCAAATTCAACGAAATATTTTCTTGTACACGCTATTTCTAGTAACATTGGTGAGTTTACCTGAATCCGACTTAATTCGACTTGATGAATATCTTAATGTCACCTCTGCTTTTTAACTCTAGACAGTGTAACATATAGTTGATTATAGTTGAAAAAGACCTAGGAAGATACAAACCAACATGCGAAAGAGTTTGACATTAACTTTTGTTGATTGTCATTGCAAAAGAAACAATCAACGGGAATTGTCTTATCTGAGATTTAATTGGCTGCCAGAGTTCGATGGTATCAAAACCGTCTGAGGAATAAATACTATGTCGCCGATATTTTTACCGGATAGAGTTTTGCAATTCAGAACATGAATGTCAAATCTAATAGTTTGAAGTCTGGTCCTATTGATCAATTGCAAAATTATTTAGCCTGATTGATGTTTGTAATTAGCCTAATTGGCGCATCGACCTTGAACTTTAACGCATGATAAGGAACTCCGGAGCATCTTATTGGTTGATGAATTCAGTTGAATAGGTTTCTCCTCAGTCTTTTTCTCATTCTTACACATATTATCCGAGCTCAGGTACAACTTTTCTTCTCCGGGAAGGAGAGACATAAAGTAATCGTTCACAGACTCGATGCAATCGATGCAAGAATTGTCCTCCCTTAAAAATATTCCAAATTGTATATGTTACTCAACAAATCTGAATAAATGAAATTCAATACCTCTAAAAATGGATCTTCTGAATCACCAATCAGCATGTCCTCCGGAATCTCTAGCGAAGTTTCACCATCATTCTATTCACCAACATCCCTATTACTAACATTCATTGTCCACTCTCCAAATTCTCTTACCTCATCCACGTTAGAGAGAGAAGAACATGACTACAATCTCGTATTCTTATTCAACTTCATGACACGACAAAAATTTCACCGCGGAAAGGGATTGATCATAGCATGTACTATGTTCTACATTGATGCTTTCAATATAAATGATAAAATCTAACTAAAATCTCTTCCAAGAACAACCACCTTATTACCAAACGGTTTGTCTATCTGTAATATAAACATCATTGTCTTGTCAAGCACTTCAAAATAATATATATGTATCATCAGTGCCTCATCCTATAACAAAATTTTCACTAATAAGCAACTCTCCATCACTGCATGTGTACTTTATTGCATTATGCTGCAGGTGGAAATCTCATGTACATTTATTCCGCCATGGGAGAGCAATAAGAATGCTATAACAACATTAATTACAATCTCACCCTCGAAAGGACATCGACCAAAAAAGTTTTCCAAAGAAAGGTCTTTTCCGCTCCTCCACGATCTTATAGAAAGAAAATTCAACCACGGTTAATGGATACAAACATCTATGGTTACATCATAAATTCTTATTGTCATATAAAATTCTATCTCTGTGCGTGTGTGTGTCTTGATAGTTGATATAAATTCAAAACGTTGAGAACATAAATCTTTGCGGCCAGGAATCTCTTCAGTGAGCAAACTACCATAATTCAAGAATAACTAAACCTCAAAACCAAACCCCTCTCTGCAAACATGAACAATTTCTCTCACCAAATGCCCTTAGAAACAGCCATAATATGATTTTTTTTTCCTTTTTTTCCTTTTTTTTGTTTCTTAAGTTGGGTATTTTGCTTCATGGGCGTGCATATTGCAATAGTTTTTGGGTTATAGTTGGATTTTGTTTGTGGGCATCTCTCTATTGGATGTGTGCAGCGTGCATGAGTTTTGCGTGCATATAAGGTGTTCGATAAAATGTTGGAACCAGACTCCAACTTTGGAGTGCAAAAACATTTTTTCAATTGGTCCGAAAAGTCGGTTCGTTAACGAGTCATTTCGGTTTTTTCTTGCATGGAATCTGATGTCTGGTTTAACTAATTTGCAGGAGCTTAAACTGTGATGAATTGACGATGGATCAAGCATCGGCTATTAAGGTTAGCGGCCATTTTCGTGAGCATGTACTTTACTAGTTTTCATGTCTCTGTATTCGAAATCGTAAAAATGTTGGAATATTTTGATGCTCGTGTAATAAGCTTGATCAAAAACTAAAAAAAAAAAGCACAGAAAAATCGAATAAATCATTACATTGCCTCCATCAATCAGCAAAAAAGAGTATCCATTTCGGTATATTCTGTTTCAGTCATTCACAAAATCGAATATCACACACACTGCTCCACAAAATTTCTGCTGCATGCTTTATTTTATTTTTCTTCTTGCATCATCAGATCCTCAAACTTCAAATAATGCACATATAGTACACACTTTTTTTTCGGTTATCGATCAGCAATTAATCCCACATTGTTTGGTGTCAGGACCCTTGGTTTTCACTATAAAAGGGTCGATCCGAACCCAAAGCAACGAGAAGATCGAAGCCAAAAGCACAGACCAAATCACAACAATAGTAGGCGTTCGGTTCTGTCTGCCCATGAGACCTTTCAAGAACGGATAGAGATGCACAATCACCCAAAACGCGAAGAACAGCTTCCCGAAAAGCGGGCCCCACGACTGGTACCCGTTGTTTATCGCGTCGGAAATCCCCGCCACGACGCCGACCAAGTTTATAACCAGTATGGTTGTCGGGGGTATGAGAAGCGTTGTCCACTTGAATGCATACAGCTCCGAAAAATCCTCGTCGTCCGATGCCTTTGAAGTAACCGTAAAATTCGTGTCGATTCCAGCTAAGATTTTGAGAAGCCCCTGAATAACAGCAAAGAGATGAGCCGAAACACCGCCGATAACCCAAAACTGCTCGTTCCTCCACCATTCCTCGATGCTCACTCCGCTCCACCGTAGTTCGAGAATGCCCGTTATGAAAATCGAGAGGAACAGAGCAATGAAGAATAGACTCGCAAATGTACTTATCTGTATCGAGAAAGAAAAAAAAAATCAGATTCGTATAAAATGTTGCGTCGAAAAGAAAGAGAAAACGGGTCTGTTTTTCGTTACCTCTGGCATTATGAATTTTCCAGTGAGTAAACAGATGGCTGGGAGAGTACAGTAGGCGAGAAGCGGGAGAGAGGTGAATGGATAAACAGTGGTATTAATGTACGATAGCCGCTCGAGCCATTTGAGTTTCCCTTGTTTGTAACCATAGCAAAGAGGGCTGTGATGGCTGAAAAAGATTTCGACGGAGCCCAAAGCCCACCTCAGCACTTGGTTAAGACGATCCGACAGATTAATCGGGGCGGATCCTTTAAAAGCGGGTCTTTTAGGCATGCAGTAAATCGACCTCCATCCACGGCAGTGCATTTTGAAACCCGTCAAGATATCTTCCGTGATGGAACCGTAAATCCAACCCAACTGCATTTTTTTTTCCACAGAGAAGTGAATGAATTTTTCAAGAATCCGAAAAAAAAATGTTCTGTTTAGAAGACGAGACGTAACGTAAAATGAATAATACCTCTGTGCCCCATTCGGTCTTGTCTTCGTATCCACAGCTTATGACGTGAATGGCTTCCTTGAGCAGAGCTGCTGGACTTGAAGAAGGCGGGACGCCACCTTCGATCATTAAGGTTGACGTCACGAATATCGATGATTGTCCGAATTTCTTTTCGAAGTTCATTTGTGACTTCAAAATCTCCTTATCGTCTTCAAATCCTCCGACGTTTGTACCGTCTTTAGCGTATTTTGGGAGATTTTTGCGGCGACCGAAACACGGGCAGCAGTCGCAGCTCACCATTTTTGGACGCTTTCGCCCCTTGGGTGGTTCGTATCCATACAAGGCTTGTCTTCGAAATACGCATCCTGTTCCGACATAGACCGGACCTTGAATCCCGTCTAGACCTTTCATGTTTATCTGCAAAATACAAAAAAAAAAAAAAAATGATTATTTATATGTTATTCTGTATATATGACATTTGATTCATGTAGTGAAGAGATTTACATCGAAGAAAACGGTGTTTCTATTGGCGTATCGATCGTGTCTGTCGATTCCATCGAATCTCTGAGGGAACTGCACGTAGCACACCTTCTTCCCAACTTGTGGGTCCATCAAGAAGCACATGGCCTCTCTCACTGCCTTGCTGTTGTTTATGTAATGATCGCAGTCCAAGTTCAGCATGAACGGAGCATTCGTAAGAACCCCCGCAACACGAACCTGTAATAAAAAAATTCGGTTTTACGTACGCAAAAAGATTACATCGAATCAGGACTTAAATAAATCAAAACATTTAATTACCAGAGCATTCATTGCACCAGCTTTTTTATGATGCTGGAAACTCGGCCTCTTCTCACGAGAAACATAAACGAGTCGAGGAAGCTCGTTTCCTTCAACGTCAAGACCTCCACTTTGTCCTAAAAACACTTGAATCATACCGGGATGATCTTTCGTGTTATTACCGGGCCACGGTGTACCGTCCTGCATTATCCACCCTCCGGGAGGTACTTTCGTCGCTTTAGCAACCATTGCGTTTATTCGAATCTTGAACTCTTCGTATTCTCTCTGTTTGTCACACGCAACGAATAGAAACTATTTAGTGTTTCCAACTCGGGATAAAAACACGAGAGTCGAGATTATTATTTATACCTTCATTGCTCTTCGTTCCTTGACGAAAGTTGGCTGCACTTTGTCCTTGAGATAGTCAACCTTCTCGGAGAAGTACATCTCCGGGGCCCGCGGCTCTATGGTGAATTTCTTACAGAAGGGAACCCATTTTCGAGAAAATTCTGCTGTTTCAGACAGTGCTTCGAATGTACACATCGAAGCCCCGTCGTCAGATATATAGCACGAGATTTTATCAACAGGGTAGTCAACCGCCAGTATTGAGAGCAGAGTGTTAGCTGTAACGAGTGGCGGTTCCTTCATGGGGTCCACTGTACTGACGAATATATCCACCGGTGCTAGCATGTTTGGCTCACCTTCTCTCTCGTACCTGCATCATAATTCTTGCTCAATTTCTTTTTTTTTTTTTTTTTTTTTATAATTATATATTTTTTTATTGAAGTATTTTTTTTTGTTACCTGAGGGAAAGGCGATCGAGATAAGTTTCGCGATCGATGGGGAACCATTTGGGGAACTGATCGAGGATCCACGAGAAGGCGAACCAGATTTCGCATATGATCGAAGTGAGCCAGAGGCCAAACGCGTCGTGCACGGGGTTCAAGATTCGGTAGCGGAGGAAGATCGCCAGCACAAAGAGACGAGCCACGATCACCATTCGGTAAGGGTTGATTTTGCTTGATGCGATCGGCACTTTTCTCGATAACGGCTGTCTTGCTTCGTCCACACTGCATTTTTTTTTCACATAATACAGTTGATTATCGAGTTTTTTTCTGTTTCTCCGTATCAACCGTTGAAACATGTACATTTTAAAACCGTAACTAATTCTGCATTTATTTACGCGTAAAAAAGACTTACATGCCCATGTCAGGGTCAACGAAATCGTCATGCTCGGGACCCAAATTACCCTGCTGCATTTTCCAATCATCCATCCGATCTTTCCATCCCATATCTTTCTTCTCGTCCCATTTCGCACTTCCTGTAATTCATTTGTATACATACACACATTATATACTTACTATATACACATAACACATATATATATACATGATTATACAGATATCGTTTTTTTACCAGGATCATCGGTGCCGGAATAAGGATGCACCCTCTTATGCAAAGAGGCACCCGTCATTTGGTCTCCGTAAGCATGACTTGAAATCGTGATTTCTCCGCTAACCTGTGTAACCAACCGGTTTTTATTTCAAGAGACTTTTAATAGTGCAAGTCACAAAAAAAAAAAAAAAACGGAGTCGATTTTTCTTACATGGCGGGAGCGACCGCCGGCTATAACAGGTAAATGAATATTTTCCTCGTCTTCCGGTCCTCTTCCGTAACTCATCTTTCCATGAAGCATTGCTTCTGCAATATTTGTGTTCTTTTTCTGCTCATCAATGTTGAATTCGTGTTCAATGTCGTCTATATCTTCTTCATCTTCATCTCCCTCAACTCGTGGACTCCCTTCAAATCATCCATATATTATTAACACGATTAAAAGTACGAAAAGAAAAATGAAAAACGAAAAAAAAAACATTAAAAATGGAATTTTGATCTTTCAATAAATACTTAGTTATTAAATTGCAAGATAGACTAGTGTGAATGAAGTATAATACCTTTGAGGCGCTTGAATCGGGTTTTGCATTGGGGGCAAAGTTGGTTTCCCTCTCTCCTCTCGTACTCGTAACACGGTCGACACACCGGAAAACCGCATTCATTGCACGCCACAAAGAGTTCGCCGTCTACTGTTAGGCCGACCTCGTCGCCACAAATCTCGCAATCTTGACCGCTCAAATTTTTCAAAGTCTTGGGCTGCAATAATAAGTGTAGAATTTGCTAAATTAAAACACCTTGAATCGAGTTCTTGTCCATTGTACGAGTAAAACTTGAATTGAACTGATCGGATTGGAATTAGCATTTACGAAAACAATTTCTTACTTTCATTGATTGGAGAAAAAAAAAATGAAAATTTTGGAAATCGAAAAGAGAAGCTATTACGACGACATAATTTTTTGGGTTCAGATTGGCGGAATTCTTAAATCAATTCGGATTTTTTTTAGAATTATATTTAGAAATTAAAATTGGATCAAAAAGCTATATAAATTCAATTTCGATCCAAAATTTTAGCGAAATCTAAATATTCAAAAAATGGTATTAGAATCGGCGGAATTCAGAAATTATGCTCCGATGTGCAAAAAGACGAATATATGATTGCATGCATGAAGTAATACCTCTTCGTGGCCGTGGATGACAACAAGCTCGTTCCGGTTGTGAGAACCGGCAACGAGCCCCGCACTGGCTTCCATTGGTGGCGGAGGGTGGCGGCAGCAGTGGCGGTGATGATGGTGGTGTTTTTGGAGGAGTAATGAATAATGTAGAGGTTGAAGTGATGGAATATATATATAGATTGTGAGGGTTTAATTTCTTTATAAAGAATATTCATAGATATATATAATTAATGGTAGAATATGTATCACTTTCTTGTATGTCTTTTGCCACCTAATAAGAGAACTGCTGTTGGTTGCAGAGTCTCCATTGCCTACAAGCTAAGCTTCCTTTGTTTCAACCACCTTAAACTCTTTCTCTTTCATTGACAACTTTACCCCCACCCCACCCCACCCCACCAAACTATAATACTAAATATTATTTAAGTAATTTTTTTGTAATATCTGAATCACTGAATGTATAGTTGATGACTTGATTCATTGGCAAATTACCAATAATCACGTACGTGTATAAGAAATTACTTTTTTTTTTTTTTTTTTACCAATGATCAACTTTCTGAGTAATGATAACAAAGCATGAGTTTCAAGAAACTTTTTTGGTTTACTATTTTCATTAGACTTAGTCTAATTATTATTATTTAAAAATAGATAACTATAATGTAAAAAAGTTATATTCCATTTGAATTTAAATGAGAGTTAAGAGTATGTAAATTTCATTTTAAAATTGTCCTTTGTAAGTTACCTCATCTACAATGAAACGTTACCTTGGATTTCAGAGGCCAATCCTGGAAGAAAAGTATTTGACAATGCTTGGATTCCTATATATATATATATATATATATATATATATATATATATATATATATATATATATATATATATATATATATATATGTGTTTTTTTTTTTCTTTTTTTTTTTTTTTTTATGGTAGACACCTAATCCTTGTTACTGCCCACTTTATATACTTGTTAATTTTCATTCCCATGTAAATATATAATTTAAATATACAAATTTGATGTGAATACAGAATTTTACTAGATATTATACTTGGGCTTCTCTCTTGTTCATCAATAGCGTTTTCTTTTACTTATTTTTTAAGCAATAGTTTTCTCTCTGTTGTTTTATTTTTTTTGAGTAAATTCAAAGTGTATTAGAAGGGAAGTAGGGGAGGACCTTTACCCTATTAGTAAGATTATTTACCAACTCTCCTTATTAGGGTTGATTAGTTTTCCCTCTCGTTTTAGACGATCAGATATTCACACATTCATATTCGATGTTTGAAAATCATATTTTGAAAATGATATGACATAGTTCATGTTATTTCAATTAAAATTTACAAATATTTATTTATTTCCTACTATTTCCTTTGAATATTTATGAATTAACCCAAACCCGTAAACATTCTAATATTTCTTTTTTCACGAGAGAGAGTTGCTCACACGCTATTTTTGTTATTTATCTTAACAAAGGAAATTATGATTAGATGTTGTGAAATCGATCAAGTTTTTAATCCAAACAATCAAGAAATAAAAACCGATGACAATTTGCCAGCAAACAACAAACAACAAACAACAAACAACAAAACACTAAACTGCAAACATATTTGATCACACAACGAAGTGCAAACAAAAACTGCATACCATACATCTGATCACTCCTTTCTTATTTCCCCCTCAAGGATTACCTTCCAAGCTCCACCTTAACCAAGTGTTTGCAGTAATCAAACTTGATTGAAGGCAAGCAAAACCTTTAGTAGCGCGATTCTTCTCAGTTGAAATCTTCTCAACTTTAATCCTTACTTTAGCTATGATATCTCCTATCACAGTTCTTCCAATTCTTCCAATCAGGGGATCGGATGAACTCCATTCTTTCTGAATCCTTCATGACAATCAATTCATCCTTACAGATCTTTAGAATACTGTTGTTGTCTGACTAGAAGAATATCCTTGTTCATTTAGAACCCCCAAGAAAATAAGATTCCTACTCAATGTGGGAATATATCTGACATCAGGTATGATTCTTTCAATCCCATCAAACATCTTGATCCCGATAGTTCCCCTTCCGTAAACTCTCAAAGGTTCATCATTCCCAAGAAACACATAACCTTCTTCTCTGAACTCAATAATCTCAAACCATTCTTATATTGAATTACATTACTTATACTGAATTATCTCACGATTTTAGTAAATCAATTCAGAGCAATATAGTAAGTGTGAAGACCATATCTATGTGTATGCATGACACCAAATATAGAATGTCAAAAGATGAATTTCATTAAGACGAAATAAATTGTATAACAAGAATACGGAAACACCATATCCACTAATTGACTTGTTTGGTTACCTAGTCTAACAATCTCCTACTTGACCTAAAGTCAATTACTCATAATCTAAGCCCCATGGCTCTCGATGTTTCTCGTGGACCGATCCACATAAAGGCTTGTTGAAGCGATCTACAAAATTCTCTTTTGAAGTGACTCTCTCGACTTTGACGTCACCTGTATCAACGATCTCTCCGATCAGATGATATTTCCTCAATATGTGCTAAATGCAGCTGGCGAAAGTGCTAGATGCAGTTGGGTGAAAATTGTTTATAAGGGCAGTATAGTATTTTTGCCTCTCCAAAGGGTATTCAAAAAGATTATTTTAACTTGAATTTTTCTCTAGTCTAGTGAGGCGTCTGAGGCATCTCTTACCAATCCTATATTAAATAGGGGCCATTAGTGGTAATCCCTTATAGTTTTTTTTTTTTTTTTTATTTTTTTTTTTTTTTTTATTTTTTTTATTTTTATAAGTATCATTTATTCCAAACCCTCCCCACTATTCATTGCACATTACCCACGATTTTGATGTATTTTTTGAAAGAATTTATGGTCCCGAATTCGTTTAATACAGAGGTGTTATCTTAAGTGTTGTGACACTTGAACAAACATGCATCGGAAATATAAAAATAATACTCAGATATAAAAATGTTCACAAGTAAAAACTTGTGAACTTGCCCTTTACAGGACAGAAAAAATATATTAAAAACAGTATTCCAAGAATACAAACAGAAGATGTACGAAAACTTCTTCCTTATGAATGAATCATTCTCATGATCATTCTTACATTCAAATCTAGAAACAAAAAGAGAAATATTAAAAATTCTAGATTTCAAAGAATGTACTCGTGAGGAGTACGTAAAGAACTTATGAATGAATCACTATCTCGATCATTCTTACAACCAAGTCTAGAAACATATATACTAAACAATCTAGACTACAAAGAATGTACTCATGAGGAGTACGTAAAGATTATACTCATGAAGAGTACAAACAACCAATTCTAAAACCACACTAAAACACTCATGTATTCTTTTCAGCTCTCGGTTTTTATTTCGTAGAATCGATCACTTTCTTGAGTCTTGAAGTCGGTATTTATAGACATTCCAAGCTTCCACTCCTCAGCCCATGATCTGCAAGAAAAACAACTACAAGAGCACTCAAGAACATGGGTTAGTGGGTTAGTTTAGTAGTTAAAATAATATCCACAATTTAACCCACTAAGCACTACTTAGCCCACTAAGTATTATACTTAGCCCCCTAAGCACTATACTTAACCCACTAAGCACTACTTATTCCATAACTAAAATTTAGTTAGAAAATAAGAAAGTTAAAAAAAATGTGGAAATAATCTACGTGTTTCAAACTCCCCCTTTTTAACTTTATGATCAAAACTAAATTTTAGCTTAACTCCCCCTGAGTCATTGCTTGAACTCCCCCCTGAATATGATAACCAATATAGCAAATAACAAATCCACTACTTTCCTCTGCTCCTTCAGCTTCACCGTGCTTCAACTTCATGACCAGCTTGTTCTCCCCCTTTTTGATCAGAAAGAGTTCTCTGAAGCATTTCCACCATGCACTGATGATAGGTGATCTGAACTAGGGAGTGAGTAAGCTGTTTTAACAAAAAATCTCGAGAAACAGAAACAAGGATGTCAGGAGTGTTGTCAACATGAGGAGCAAAACCTTCAGTACCAAGATTATTTTGATCTGATTCAGTTTGGAGAAAGTTATCTCCATTCCAGGGAAAATCTTGGACATGAGGAGCTTTGAGAAAATTTTGAGAAACAGTTATCATGCCAAGTGGAGTGTGAAGATATTCTGATTCATCTTGGCCTAAATTTTGAGAAAGTAGAATGGAGTAGATGAGAGAAGGATAAGGAAGATGAGTGGATGATGAAATTTTCTGGGCAAGATGACCTATATTATTAAAGAAAAGCTTTCCAAAATCAACTGGTAATCCCATCCCCAATTTGTACATGAGTACTGCATGCGGTTTAGTTACCACAGAGACATTTTTGGATGGAATCCAATTCATCACTGTGAGTCTGAACAAGACAGAATAAAATGCAGTGAGTTGAGAAACTTTGAATTTTCTGGGGTGAGCAGGCCAACATTTTAGACGATTTCCAGAAAGAGTTTTACAAACCTCAGTAAAATCACCATAATTATCCTCATCAATCACAGTAGGAGTTTGTAAATGAGAGTTGATAATTTTGGGAGAAACGGAGAAAATGGAATTTCGCACATAAACTTTGCCAAAGTTTGGAGAGTTTTTCTTTAAAAAGGAGGTTTGCAAATTGGCATAAAATTCCTTCACAACAGTGGGATCATAAGAACAGGCAACCTCAACTAGACTAAGGATTTTTCTTTGATCAAGAAAAGCAGTGATCCTATGTCTATCAAACTCTTCCTTGGAAATTTTCTTTTCCTCAATGAATTGGCAATTCATGATTTGAGGACTCAAATTTGAATCAGATTCAAAATAAAAAGTAGGACTGAAGGCATTGTTTACCTCAAAAGGAGTTGACAAATCCTTCCCATCCAAGTCTGGCTCTTCTTCCTCTGAGGATTCCTCATCTTCTGAGTCTTCAAGCTCATCTAGAATGTATGCTGGTTCAGGTGATGCAACAGATGGGGCATCATCTTCTTCCTTCTGAGAGGATTCCTCAGAAGAGTCACTGTCTGACTCTGTGGAGGGCAAATTTTTGCGAAAGGAAGCGAGGGGAACCTCCCAGCTGTCATCACTTTTCTCTGGTTCTTCAGCCTGAGGAGGGGATGCATCCACTTGAACTGCTGCTTCTGCTAGAGTTTCTAGAGGGTCTGCATGTGGTGCTGAGGGTGTTTCTTCAGTGGTAGTGAAGTCCTGAGCATCAACAGTGGGAATGTCAACATGCTCGGCAGAGGACATCCCAGAAAAATCAGGCATTTCTTCATCCTGGTAAGGAGCAGCATCCTCAGGAGCACTCTAAGGGACATTTGCTGAGACAGTGGGTGCAGCAGCATCTTCAGGAACATGTGCAGCAACACCTTC